GTCACACAGCTAGCCAGTGACAGAGCCAGCTCTTGAATCGGGGAAGTCTGACACCAAAGTTGTTGTACTTTTCTTGTTGTTATTGCCTTTGTGCTAGTCCCAATCCGTGGAGACTCAAGGTGAAGTGGAACAAAACACGGCCCAATTCTGGGCCACCCCATGGTTAATTATGGATAAGACCATGATGATCTATAGAATTTTCATTGGATGCTTTTTGGAAGTAGATTACCATAACTATCTTCCTAATGTGCCTTAGTCTGGAAATTTCACTGAAACGCGCAGAGCAACACATCAATGCATACGCCTCCACTGATTGATGATGATGGCTGTAAGCAAGATACGTTGGCCAGGGATCAAAGTACAGAGGAATTAACAATAGGGAAAAAGAAAGAAATAATTGATAAAAACTCTGAAAGCAATATGAAGGAGAACGTGTGCTAGAGGAACACAATTCCTCTGATGGAACTCCAGTGGAAAGGAGGTGAGGTGTGTGAAGGGGCAAATGAATTTGTAAGCAGACCTGGGGAACGGTTAGTTGCTTATCTGTCGTTATGAGTTATAATTCCATCAAGTCAGGAGAGACCTTGTCTAGCTGTAATCATAAATAATTGAGAAGAAAACACTTTCTTTCTTCACCGGAAATTAACAGGACAAGCAATCATTTTGAGGGGAAGTTTGACACCCTGAGTAATGGCAAGTCCCTCTGACCTTATCTCCCCCTAACCCTTTGGAGAGGGAAAAACAGGTTGAAGTGGAATTGTGGGAACCTCTGAAGAGAAAACTGAGACCCATGAAAGGGCTGAAGGAATAGCCTGTCAGCACTTCCCAGGTCTATAATTCTTGGTGGCTTTTGTTCTCCACATTCCCATCCAGCCCCACGTTTGTGATCTTGTTTATGTTTTTCTTTCTGCCTGGTACACTGCCTTCACCTTGCTTCTCACCCTCCACACCACAAGGCTCATTAACTCTCTTCCTTCTCTGATTCCTGGAGCTCTTTTTATATTGCTCATTGCTGCCCACCCCCATCTATCATGCATTTGAGCCTCTGTCTACATGCTTTAAAGACATCTCTCCCACTTGATGTTAAGTGTCTCTAGCACAGGGATTGTATTTTGTTTTCATTTTAGCCTCTACAATTCCTTTCACATAGTGAACATAGGAAAAGTTACTAAATTGCTTACTTTTTAGAGATGGCGAAACAAATCTAATGAAGATTAAATAATAGAGCTAATACAGGAAGGATTTCAGATGATCAAGCAAGTAAGTCTTCTGATTCCTCATCCTCTTTTTCCTAAACTCTGTGCTTCTCTAGACACATTAGGTGCCATCGTAGGGGCGTGTCTCTCTGTCAGTGGAAACGTGAGTGTTGATGTACTGAACAGATGTCAGCAGGACTTCCAAATTAAAATAGCCTCGGAAGAAAGGCCTGGTGGCATTCCAAAAATCATCCAAGGCTCTGTGGTGCCATTTGCAACCAATCACAGGGACTGTTCCATTGTGCATAGGGTTGCCGTGAGTTAGGAGCTGATTTCAGGGCAGCAAACCAGAGTGCGTGAGTAAAGAATGCTCAGTCCATGTGCCTCAGTGAAAGTGTGTCCCGATACCTCCTGTGGTGACTCTCCGGGAGTGAGCACTGCTCCTGGGTTCCCAACTAAAACTTTGCCTGTTCTTTAGGGATGTCTCTGACAGAGAAGAAGTACAGAGATTGCTAGAGATTTAACAGAACAGTATTTTGTGAACACAATCATCTCATCTTAACAAAGCCCTGGCTCTTCCATACACATATGCAGACAGTACTACCCACACTGCACCTATCTTGTACAGCTACATTTAAAAAGTGTCCTGTGTATGCACTTTATCTGAAATTTATAACCCTGGGGTTACCCAGTTGATTCCAACGCAGGGTGACCCTATGTGTCAGAGTAGGACTGTGCTCTGATTTGGGGGGAGAGTTCTGGAAGACCTTTCTTCTGAGTTATCTCTGCCTAGATTCAACATGTTGGTAAGCAGCTGAGTAGGTTTACTACGTTTATACCACCTAAGGACTTCCACAAATGTATAAAGAAGGCTAAAATAACTGTATTTGTAACTGAAAAAAAGTTACCCTGTATAATTACATACCTGATTGCATCAAAACAAATTCTTTGTTATTATTGTACTTTTTTA